GTCCTCTGTCCGGAAACACTCATTTCTTAAGGAGAAACACCCCATCATGAGGTGTTTGTTTGTTGGTTTGTTTATTTGTTTTTATAGACTCTAGGCCCAAGGAAATGTTTTGGAAAGCCCTCCCTTTCTCACCCCAATAAGATGAAGGCCCTGGCCGGGTAGCTTAGTTGATCAGAGCACCGTCCAGATACACTAAGGTCACAGGTTCAATCCCCAGTCAGGGCATATACAGAAAACAATGAATGAATGCATAAATAAGAGGAACAACAAACCTCTCCCTCTCAAAAATCAATCAATAAAATTAAAAAAAAAAGATGAAGGCTACACCACCCCTCCCCAGCTGTCTGCTAGCTGCTCACCAGGGCAGCTCACAGCAAGTCAATGAGCACTGAAATCTTTCCATGGAGTGTTGGGAGAGTCAGACAGGAGGTCTGTGTCTCCTACTGGGGTCAGGACACAGTCCTTAAAGACAGGACGCTGAAGCCCCAGAGAAGAATCTGCCTGAAGCCTGGAACAAACGGCCTTTCCTTTCACTGGACATAGTCATAGCTACTCCACCTCCCCCATCCCTGACCTTAGGCTGGACCTTTCCAAGCCCAAACTCTCCCCCACACAATGGGGGAAATATGGGTGCCGCCTTCCCGACTTTGTTCTGAGAACAAAGATAAGGGAGAATTCAGCTCCTCCCTTCAGCTGTTACTACAGGGAACCTCTTAGTAGCTGATCCCTCCTAAGTGGAGACCACAGTCCGTAGTCCAGGGTCTTTATCAGTGACTGTCTCCTTTGTACTCTAGCAGGTGACTACAGCATGAGGCTGCGGCTGCCTGCCTGTCTGACCTGAGCACCCTGGTCTCTCCCTATTTGCTCCTGCAGGACCAAGGAACGTGGTATTATTGATAGTAAATGGCTCCTCCTTGGGGGCAGAAATATGTCTATCATGACACTGCCTGGGTCACAATCACTGGAAAATAGTGGTTCAGGACGTTGCCATTTACTTCATTTCATGCTCAACGTCAAAGAGGGTGAAGTATATGACATGGAGCATGGTGGCACCAGAGCAGTGCCTGGCTTTGGTGACTGGGAAGATAGTGTGACTCTCACTGAAATTGAGGATGCAGGAAGAGCAGGTGTTGGGGAAAATAATGTTCAATTTGGGGCACATTTACTGTAAAGTGCTGGGAGATAATGCAAGTGGAGAGTTCCAGTGGATAGTTGCATATAAGAGTCTGGAGTATGGGGGTGAGGGGGCAGTAGTCCAATCTGGGGGTAAACAATGGTGACTTTCCCAAATCTCATTTAAACCTTGGGTTTGGAAGGGGCCATTCAAGGACCTTGCACAGATCAGAAGAGCCCGGTGGAGAAGAGCAGAGGAAGGCGCTCCAGGAAAGAAGGCTGAGAAGAGCAGCCAAAGAGTTAGTGTTGACACCAAGAGAAGGGTTTTGTAAAAAGCCAGCAGAGGAGACTTGTGGTCAAGATGGCAGAGTAGTGAATGCCATGCTTGTCTCCTCCCATGACCACATCAAAATTACAAGTAGAACCTCCTGAAGTCTAGCTGAACAGAAGTTTTATGACAAAGAATATAAAAAAGTCACATTGAGAAAGGTAGGAGGGACTGAGATGAGAAACAGGCTGGTTCCACACTCACATGTGTCAATTAAGAATCAGGAGGGAGCCCTGGCTGGTGTGGCTCAGTTGGTCGAGCACCATCCTGTGCACCAAAAGTTTGCTGGTCCAATTCCCTGTCAGGGCACATACCTGAGTTGCAACTTCATTCCCTGATTGGGGTACAGGAGGCAGCTGATCAATGTTTCTCTCTCACATCGATGTTTCTCTCTCTTCCTCTCCCTCTCTAAAAATCAATTAAAAAAAAAAAAAAAGACTTTCAGTGATTTCTCAATAGAAACTTTGCAGGCCAGAAGGAAGTGGCACAAAACATTCAAAGTGATGAAAAGCAAAGACTACAACTAAGATTACTGTACCCAGCAAAGCTATCATTTAGAATTGAAGGAGAGATAAAGAGCTTCCCAGACAAGAAAAAGCTGAAGGAGTTCATCACCACCAAATCAGTATTACAAGGAATGTAAATGGAAAGGGGAAAAATTAAAAACATGAATAAAAAAATATTGCCAAAAAAATTTATTATGTGGCAAACACATAATAAAAGCAGTGGATCAACCAATATTAAAGCTAGTACAAAGATTAAAAGGCAAAAGTAGAAAACTACAACAGTAAATTAAGGGATACACACACATATAAATAATGACAAAAAAAGTAAACATGAAGGGGTGAGTAAAAATGGTAGTGATTTTAGAATGTGTTCAAACTTAAGTAACCATTAACTTAAAATAGGATACTATAAACATAGCTTGGTATATCTGAAGCACATGGTAACCACAAACCAAAAATCTACAAGAGATATACAAGAAATAAAGGGGAAGGAATCTAAACACAACACCATAGAAAGTCATCAACATTCAAGAGAAGAGAGTAAGAGAACATGAAAGGAACAGAAAAGAACTACAATCAGAAAACAATTAAGAAAATGGCAACAACTACATACCTCTGACATGTAAATGGATTAAATGCTCCAATCAAGACACGAAAGAGGACATGTACATATATGCAATGGGATATTAGTTGGCAATAAAAAAAAGAATGAAATCTTATCATTTGCAACAGCATGGATGGACCTAGAGGATATTATGCCCTGACTAGGAATCCAACCGTGATTGCCTGGATCATAGGTCAATGCTCAACCGCTGAGCAATGCCGGCTGGGCTGAAATTTTTTTTACTTAACAAAAAGAAAGCCAGCCAGAGGACAGAGTTTCTAGGAGAAAGCAGTCAACATCAAATGACTAAGGGAATGCAAGATCAGACCTGCAGATATCCGCTGGACGTGGCCGCATGAAGGTAAAGGGTGATTTCGGAGAAGGCATTTTGGGGGTGGGAAAGGAGAAGCCCGACTGCAGGGAGTGGAATGAGGAAGAGGGCTGAGGACATGGACACAGATCACAAAGCAGTTTATAGGGGCGAGGAAGGGGGTAAGTGAGAAAAACCTGAGCATACTTATTTTGGGAAGGGAAGACTCAACAGGGAGGGAAGTGAAGTAGAGAGGACAGTGAGTGGAGGCTAGTGGAAAGCACTGCGGTGGGGGGTAGCGGAGCCAGAGCACAAACAGTGGGGGGCCCGGGCTTTGCTTCTGCCCAGTGAAACTTGTGACAGGAAGGTAAAGAAGCTATTTTCCTCTGTGAAGTAGGAGGCAGAACCATCTGCTGAGGGTAAGGTAGGAGGTGGTGGGAAGGAGCTGAGGAAAGGTGAAAATTAGTAAGAGTCAGTAACTGAGGAGAGAATGGAAGTAACTGGACCATTCCTGGGCAGAGTGGCTCATATCAGACCATAGGCTCTGCGCTGGGCTGGGGTGCAAGCGAGAGCCCACATGAAGGAGCTGGATGACCAGAAGAAAAGGCAGGAGGCCGTATTATGTGTTGGGAGCACAGGTGACAAGCGAAAGAACTAAAGGATATGGAGGGTCAAATACTGGATTGTGACATTTCAGAGGCGGAGCTGCCCCCGGGGACAGTGGATGTCCATGGGAGTGAGCTGCACTTGGGGGGTGGGGAAATGCTGTCAAAATGAGGAAGAAGGAAGCCAGGGCATCAGACAGACTTTTCATCCACACTGTCGAGGAAGGCACTAGGATGGTGGGGTGGGGACCCGAGACGATCAGACAGGTGCCGAAGTCCTCAGTGAAGGAAGCACATCAAGGGAAGAAAACTGAGTGGCAGGAAACTCAGAGGAAGCATGTTTATACAGAGGTGGAAGAAAAAATGTCTAGAAGTAGCAATGAGCACAAAAGTAGTGTGGGCCACCCCCCCTCAGATCTGTGTAATGGGATTGGGTGAGGGGGGAGCCTTAGCTCATTTGAGGAGCAGGGGAGAACATTCTCTCCATGGTTGAATATAACATTTCGTTTGTTCTCTGAAACATCTCTTGTAGGTCAGCACCGGGGGCAAAGTGGGGACAAAAGCACAGGCAGTGTTGAATGAGAGCGCTGAGGGTTTGCCACAGGGAGAGGTGGGTGTCAGCCTTTTGGTCCAGGAGATAGACTGGCAGGGACAAAAATGTCAGGAGCCTGATGGAGACTGATGCTAGATGATACTTGATGCCTGAAAGTCAGGGTTCCAGAAAGATCTAGGCCAAAAGCTGGTTTGTGTCCCAGGAGTCTATGTTGTCCCTGCCCTGGACTATTTCTCCCTAAGAAAACTGGTCTTAACTCCATGTCTTCTATCCAAGCTTAGCACCTACTTGGAACTATATTTTCTCAAGGAAGAAGGGGAAGAAGAGGAAGGATTGTCACTGTGACAGAAAAGACTGGTTAGGTCAGAGTAGGAAACTAGGCTGAGAGGGGAGGTGGGTGGACATCAGCAGGAGCCCCTAGCCCCAAGCTCTCCTGGGACATGGGCCTCTTCCCAATCTCCCATTCCTAGAGGGGCACTCACCTTATTTGCTAACCTTAAACTCCTGCAGTCTTGCCTAGAATATTTAGGTGCCTTGATATTCACTTCTATGAAAAGCCAGGAAGGTGTGCCTGTGAGGCTGGTACCGATGAAAAAGGTATGGGGTGAAAGCAAAAAAGCAAAACAAAACAAAAAACCCGTAAAATATTGACCCGGTACTTCCCCTGCACATGCCCATACATTTGGGAAGTGTTACAAAAGAAAGGTTAGCTTGTGTTTGAAAAAGGGACCAGTTCAAGGTCCTAAGCACCCGGCCGCCGAACACAAAGTCCCTGTGGTGTGTCAGCTCTGCTCACTGCCCCATCTTCCAGCTGAAACTGGGTCTGGGCGGTCTGCAAACAGAGGGGCTAAACCCCACCAGGTCAGACTCTGTCTTCCACTCCGCCCAGATCTACCCATTCCATTCTGCTTAGGAAAAGGTTTCTCTCTTTACTTTGACCACCAGTCTTGGTTAAGCATCAGAAAAGAAACAAATTACACATTTCTCAGAAACTGAAATTTTATAAAAAGGCATTTTTCTCTTATACCCATAAAATGATATAATTTTTGCAAGTATAGAAATATGTCATAAATTATACAGAATGTTCCTTAATTACAGTTCAATGCAACTTAGTACTTTCCTCCCTCCCTAAAAAACGAGAGAGAACCAAAAAAATAATATATAACTGTATATATATATATATTTTTTTTTTATATTTATATAATAGACAAACCAAATATGAAAAAAAAATCATTTCCTCTTTGGTATAAAAATCAGACTCTCACCTTGAGAGACGCACAAACAGACATGATGTTGGGTTTGTAAACTGTGTGGCCAAAAGGGATTTCCCTGTCAAGCTTTCCCCTCCTCCCACTGGAGGCCAACCTACCCTGCCTCACCACAGCCCACCTGCAGTTCTACAGGGCTCCTACAGAATAGAATGTTCAAGATATCTGTACCCCACTCCCAGCTCCCCACCATTCCTGAGGACCCCTCCCCTCCACGACCAAAGACGAGGAAAGGATTTTTCCCAAGACTAACTTGGTAGCAGTGAAATTGGGAAACACCTAATTTGGGGAAGAGCTCCCTAGGTATGGAGAGGCAGGATAGTTGTGCTGAGGCTCCAACTAGTCCTGTCCAGGCCAAGCCAGGCACTGAGTAGCACTTCTACCACCCAGAACGTGGACTCACCACCTCCTACCAGATTCTGGGCCCAGAGGGGTGGGACCCCTTGTCTACCAGAAGGGAGAAGCAGAGGCCAGCTTCCCCGTTCAGGCCCACCTCAGGTCCTGGGGTGTAGATGCAGGAAAACGCCAGATGAGGAAGGAGAAGGGAATTCAGAAGGGACTCTGCTCATGGACTTGAGTCTAAATTTAAAATAAAACAAAACCTTTTTTCAGGACTAAACTTCATACCCAGCTTTTGGCCAGGGAATGACAGGGCTACTTTCCCTGGCTCCAGTCCAATACCAGCAGGACTTATGGAATCCAGGAGTTGATATGCGTGTGTTCTGGGGGAAGGGACAGCTCTTCACTCTCAAGGTGAGGAAGCAGACAGAACCAAATCCTCCTTTACACTCTCCCCACACCCTCTAACTGAAAGGCACCTCCCTCCCTGGTCAGCCTCACTGTCCCTCAGGGGGACCAGAGGACCAACCATGAACTGTGGCTCCTCCCTAACCACTCCACATCCAGCCAGGTTTGGGTACCTGTGTGGGCCAACCTCCTTTTCCCCAGGAGAGTTAAGACACCAACCACAAGATAAAAGTCACTTAGAGGCCTCCTCCACTTGCCAAATAAAAAAGACAAAACCAAATAGACACAAACACAAATCAAGGAGAGACATACACGATGTGAGGGGCCCAGAGGCCCCAACAGGTCTCTGGCTTCCCGGCATGATACATTCTTATGTAATTCAGGAACAGGGGCTCTAGGGCCCCTGTGGGGAGTGGGAGTAAAAAAATACAGAGACTATAGTCTCCCTGTGGGTTCCCAGGCAAGGGAGGGGCAGACTCAACCTCTCACAGTTTTTTTTTCTGTTTTTGGTTCCATATCTGGTCCCCCACTGGGACTGGTTCCAGATGGTCCAGCCCTTACTCTGCCCTTGAGGACTGTCCCCTCTACCTTCCTAGCTAGTGGGAGGGCCCCTGGCTGGAAATGCCCCAGACACTTCTGGTGGGACCAGTAGGACAGAGTCTACCAGGGGAGAAGTCTGGGAGAGGCAAGAAGGAAGACGGGCAGTTCTCAGACACGGTCCTCTTGGTGGCCGGCCTGCCCTGTGTGCTCTGATCACTGGCACGGGGCATAGAGGTCCCAGCCTTCATCCCTTGAGGGGCTTGTCGGCTCCTCCGCTGGGGCTGCTGGCGCTGTCACTCTTCTTCCTGCGCAGGCTCTCAATCCAGCTGGAGCTGGAGCGGGTAGTAAAGCTGGAGAGTGCCAGGGAGCTGAGTCGCATGTTTTTGCCAGACATTATGAGCTCCCCAAAGCCTTCCTGGTGGGAGAAGGCATAGCCAGAGCGCCGGGATCCTGTGCGACCCACCCGCCGCATGCAGCGGTGCTGGGCCTTCTGTTTCTTCCTCACCAGCTGGGTGTAGCGGACCTGGCAGAGGGTGGAAGAGAAGCACAAGGAAGGAGCCACCTTCAGTGTGGCAGTGTCAGACACCACCACCGAGAAGGGACCCAGAGCCCCCAGGACAGGACAGCATGGGGTGTCTGTCCCAAGGAACACCACCAACACATAAGAGTCATGAAGCCCAAAAGCTGCAGCTGCATGAGTGCTTGTGCCAGAAGGGCTTTCAGACACACCCAGCTTCTCACCGTGTCAGAGAGATCGGGCTTCAGGTTCAGCTTGAGGAATCGAAAAGCAACTACGGGCATGATGCAGACTACCGTGGTAAGCACGATGGTCAGCCACACTGTGGGCTGGGCCAGGGTGTTCTGTGCATTACCTGAAAACACAGAGGAGTCAGAGGCCTTGGGAGTTATAAAGTGGACAGGTCCCCATTTCTAATCCTGACAGCCCCACTTCCCTAGTCTCACAACCTAAGTCATCCTGGCTTCTTGCCCCACCCTGCTCCCCAAGGAGGTATCTCCAAATTTGACTCTAGCTCCAAACTCTCCCCAAAACTTCAGACCTATTTCTTTAACTGCTTTATTTGACATCTCTGTTGTACAACTAACAGGGATCTCAATTTCAAATGGACAAAAGTGAACTATTGCTTCCTCCACCCCAACCTGCCCCATCTTCCCCAGCTCCAGAAATGCCACCCCCCACTCAGTTGCTACAACTAAAAGCCCTGAAGTCAACTTTGACTGCTCTCTCTCAAGCTCTTCATCCAATCTGTTGGCTCCATTCCAAAATACCTATGGAATTCCACAACATTTCACTGTATTGCAAACCACCATCGTTCTCACCTGGGTTAATGCTATGGCTACCCTTCCCTTTACACTTTATTATCTACAAAACAGTAACAGTGAGCCTTTAAAAACATAAATCAGTTTATGGCATTTCCCTGCTCAAAGCCTTCTTAATGGTTTCCTCTCATATTAAGGTTAAAATTCAAAATTCTTAACCTGACCTATATGGGCTTAAATGATTTGGACCAATTCTCATCTCCCCCTACCCCACCGCCCCAGCCCTAGCTTCCAACTTCCATTTCCTACACACACACACGCTCCTCCACTGCCATGACCTCCTGCAAGTCCCCACCTAAGGCTTCTGTATCACTGTTTCCTCTTCCTGGATCATCCCTTCCCTTTATTCAGATTTCTCTGTGCCAATGGTCTGTCCTCAAGAGGTCTTTGCTAACTACTCTTATCCCTCTCTACCCTACTTGATGTTTTTTATAGGATTTATTAGTCCCAGACGTTATATCTATTAACTAGTAAATTATTTCTCTCACTGAAATAGGAAACCCAGGAGGACAATGCTTTTGCCTGTTTTGTTCATTGCTGCATCCCCAGCATCCAGAATAGTAGGCGACCTATCGTAGAAGCTGACTGAAGGCCCACTGAGTGAATAAATGAAAAGATCTAAAGAAAATGCCAAAACTGTAAATGCATCTTTCACCTCATGCCTCCCAACCAGCCCCTTTGCCACCCACCATGGCCACCCGATCATCGCTTCTGAACAGCCTTACACAAAGTTACTATGGTAGTTTCTTCACTGCCCATCACTGCCAGATTCACCTTTCTAAAGTAAAGTAATCCTTTGATGCCATTCCCCTCTCTTCTCAAAAAATAAAAATAAATAAAAGACTCCTGCAAGTCTGATGCAAACCTGACAGCCTGGCATTCTGACACCTTAAATGTCCTACCTTCCATGGTCTTTCTTCCACCACTTCTCAGTGGGTATTCCTGCCCCACCCTGGTTGGAGCTCTCTCCATTCCCTAGAAACAAGTGGCCCTTTCACACTTTCAGCTCTCCAACTTTGAATTTGACTCCCAATCGTGGCGGAACTCACAGCAGCCTCCTGTGTAGGACTATCCCTGACGACCCCGCATACAATCACTTTGCTGACCATGACACCTGCCACCCCTTGACCTCCCTTGGGCGCTGACCTCGTACAGCCTAGCAGGGCTAGTCTTCACTCTCATGGACATGGAAGCTCTCTGAGGGCAGCACCTGGGTCAGATACACCCAGCTATCCCCCCAGCACCTTGCAGAACAGCTGCACATAAGGAGTATTGAGTAAATGCTCATGGAGTGCAGACTGGCTACCTACCCTGTTAGTCCCAGAATAGTCGTGTTTCCTCAGTGATTCAAGAGGAAGCCACCAAGACTCACCCACAAACCGGAACTGGTTGGGAAACATGTCGAAGAGCCCATTGCTATGCATGGCAAAGAGAATGGCAAAGTAAACAGCTAGGCTGCCCCAGATGAAAAAGTGGTTGATGGCCGTCCAGTAGCCTGTATCAAGCCCAATCTGCAAAAATCAGGAGCTGTCACAGGCAGAAGGAGTTACCACCCCAAAACCCTGTCCCCTTCCCAGAAACAGAACTGTAGTGCCCAGGGCAGCCCCAGGGACAGGAGGCTTCCTCCTTCCAGATGTAAGGGCAGCTCCTAAACTGCCTCATACCTGTACGCTGACAACAATGACCAATGAAGTAGCCACAGTGACCGCAAAGGACTGATAGTCGGCCAGCTGGGTGCCATCATCCCGGGTGGCCTCGGCAAATACCCCATAGGGGATGAAGAACATGAGAACAGAGGTGTAGATGCCCTGGGCAATGCAGATGAAGAATTCCCGCTTGTTGAAGAGGAGGTTCAGCTGGCCTGGCTCATATAGTTTAGGGTACTCCATGCTCCGCTGCTCTGGGACGTCCTGTGTGGGGAGGATCAGGTGGCACAGGAGGCCTCAGAGGCTGCCGTTATGACACCAGCAGACCCTGTCCCTGCCGCACCCTTTCTAAATTCTTTGACAGCTAGATTCAACCTCCAGCCAACTGCCCCCAATTAGTCTATGCTCAGCAACCCAGGGGAGTTACAGGTCAGCTGTGGTTGAGAGGGAGAACCAGCCACACCCTGTCCAGCTGGAAAAACCACCTTCCCAGGGACCACAGGCAGAGGGCACGGATGTCACATGCCGACCACTATCGGTGTGACTCCTTCACAGCAATGTCCTTCTCCCCATCCCACTTGACCATCAAACTCCCCCATACCTGATCAAAGACCCCCATAGCCAGGACTGGGAGGGAGGTATATACAATGTTATAAAGGGTGATGAAATACTGGTCATAGACGGTCTGGAAAGAAAATGGGGGGAGAGAAAGGAATAAACATGTAGTTTTTCTTCACTACAAATCAGGCAGAGGAAGGCAGCAATGTAGCATACATGGAGACCCAAGGAATTTTCTGGAACTCTATCTCCACTACTTCAACAACCATTTTTTAAATGCGTGAACCTGGCAAAAGCTAGGCCCTAAGGGACTGAACACTGAACAAAACAGATACAATCTCTGCCCTTAAGGAACTTACAGACAGGCAAGCCAGTGGACTATGAGCTCACTACCTGGGCGGAGAAGCCGCAGAAGAAGCCAAACCAGAAGTGGACCATGGTGAAAGCAAAGTTCTTGTAGAAAAAATAGCAGAGGAACTTGCACATGCGCAGGTAGGACCAGCGCCCATGCACCAGCAGGAGGCGCTGCAGAAACTTGAACTGGGAGAAGGAGTAATCTGAGGCCAGGACAGCCTGGATCCCTTCTTGCCCACTGATGCCCACACCAATGTGAGCCGCTGCAGAGACAAGAGGGGAAAAGAAGGTGAAGATGGCTACACACCTGAGAATCCCACCAACTTACAGTTCCCCTTCCTCATTAGTCTTCCCTGGTCCCAAGGCCTCATGGCGCCTTCTGTCCTCCCACCAGCCCCCACACCTGGACAGTCCGTACTCACTTTTGATCATGCTGACATCATTGGCTCCATCCCCAATGGCAAGTGTCACAGCCTTCTTGTACTTTTTAACCAGTTCCACCACCTGTGCCTTCTGCAAGGGGGTCACCCGGCAACAGATGACAGCTTTGCAGGCACAGGCTGTCTCCAGAAACTCCAGCTCCATGTCTGCCTCCAACGCATGGGCCTGCAACACAGAGAGCCCTGAGAGATCAGCCTCCCCCAGGAAAGACACAGGAATCAGCCCTGCCCAGTCCCCTTAAAAACCACAGCCCCTCTGATGTCAAAGGAAATGAGAATAAGGTAATATATAAAAGGCATACAGAGAGAAGTGCTCTCTGGAAAAACACTGCCCAAGCTAAGAATGGCAACACTTACCAGGCTGTGTCCATTGATGACCAGGGCATACTCCCCAGCCACGGCTTCCAGGACAGAAGTAAGCTTGGAAGAAGAAAGTTGCTCATGGTAAGTAAAGCCATTGCCTATGGTGCGGGACGGGTCCATCATCTTCTCCCGGGCTTTCCTGTGAAGGGGAAATGAAACTGTGGTCTCCTGGGACAGGAGCAGGGATTCAAGCCCAATCAGGGCCCAGAAAGCCCTGCCCGACCCATGTTCACAATGCAGAGCACCTGCAGTCTCAGGCCTCTTTACCTGAGCTGCTCCCGCACTTCCAGGACGGTGTGGCCAGTGACCATGAACACCTCTGACATGTCATCCGTCAGCATCTTGCAGGAATAGCCAATGTTCACAGCCGTCTCTACCAAGAGAGAATGCAGGAGCTACAAGCAGGCCCCCAACAAAGTCAGCACTCCGCTGCCTGATATCCTAGGCTCATGCAAGGACCCAATGGGGCTGCTGTCCAGATGCAATTTCCTCTGCCCTGCTGGACTCTAACCTTGTTTGTCTCCGGTGAGCACCCAAATCTTGATGTTGGCCAATGTCAGGAGGGCTATGGTCTCTGGAACCCCTTGCTGAAGTTTGTCCTCAATGGCCGTTGCACCCAGCAGCTGAAACACCACAAGGGTCCCTGGCACGAGAGTTCCAGACACAAGCCTTCCTTGCTCACCCTTGGCCCATTCTGTAGCCCATACCATCATGTCACTTTCAATCTCCTCGTAAACGCTGGCCAGCCTGTCTTCCTGGCTGTCCTGGGCCAGGCTGGCTTGGAGTCGTCTACCAGCCCACTCCTCATAGTATTCTTCATCCAGATCCTTGTAGGCCAGTACCAGGGTCCTCAGCCCTTCCCCTGCATATTCCTAGAGGCAGAGTAAAGAAAGTTACCCCTCACCCTCTCCCACAATACTGAGAGTAGCAGAACCACAGGGTCCCTCCTCTCCTCACACCTACATTCAGGTGGTCAGTGGTGGTGTTGAGCAGCTCTTGGGTGGAGTGGTGGAGTCTGTCCAGCAGAATAGTGTCAGCCCCTTTGCAGTAGAGTCGGATCTTCCCCTCTGGGTTTCGCACTGAGTGAGGTGGGGGAGAAAGTCCCAGAAAAATTCAGGCAGGTGAAGACCCCAACATCAACGTATCAACAAGGGTCACCCAGCACACCTCACCCCATTCCAGGCCTGTATGCTGCCCTGAATCCTCTAGCACCTGGTCCTGGCCTCACCTATAACCGACATCCGCTTTCGGATATTGTTGAAGTCCAGGATGGCCAGCAGCTGGTAGGTGACGGCTGTGCCCATCTCATGGACAGTGATGGTCTTGGGAGTACGAGAGCGGAATACAAAACCAAAGTTCCTGGCTGCAGTGACCAGGGCCCCCTCGTCCGGGGACTGGGCTTTGTAGTACAGCTCCCCTGGGTGGGAGGAAGAACACATGTGATGTAAGTAGCCACCCTCTCAGTCACATGTCCCACCCAGGAACCCCCAGCCAGCCACAGTGCAGAGCAGTACCCGAGCTTAAAGACCTGAGTCAGGTAGGGGAGAGCACAAAGCCAGCTCTGCAGCTTACCTTCATTCTTTTCTTCTGACATAACAGTATGACACAGGGAGAGGAGGCGGAAGAACTCATGGATGTAGGGGTCCCCCATCTTAACAGCCTCCAAGAGTGTGGGGTCCCAAAATAAGAACTTCTTGTCAGCCAGAGGATTGAAGGAGAAGTCGATGGGTTCAGGCCTCTGTGGCAGATGAGAGGGCGATTAGCAAAGAGTGGGTCGCCAACAGGCAGTATCCCAAGGACAGTGCTCCCCACCCTATTGTTTCCTGCCCTTCCAATTCTCAGTAGGGGAGTCCAAGATCCTGTCCACTATGGACCTCAAAATTCCCACTGCTACCAATTCTTCCTTAAAATATGAATTTCTTTAAGCAGCTTCCATCTCCTGACCAGATAACACATCACTCCTAACTATACCAACTGTTAATGGTCACCTACCCTATGTTTAATTGGCATACAGAATAACTGTGGAGGCTGGACCTTACCTCTCCCAATTCAGCTTTGTGCCCCAGGACATCGAACACATCACCTACACACAGCCAGGACAGAAGAGAAGCAACATCAGAGCTACAGTTCCCTCAGAGCAAGTGTAGAAACCTCCAGCACAGAACCCCCCCACACACACAGGTTCATGAAACCCACAACCCTAATCGTTGAGCAAATATCACACAGAATCACACTACTGACTCAAGGGGCAGGTGGAAACATGCACCCTGGATCCTCAGAAGCCCAGGACTAAAAATCATGGCATCTGCTGCTCCCCATCCCTGTCCCTATGACTCTGCCCCCGCCTGCTTGCCTCCCAGGGCAGCTTCTATTTTACGACCCTCCCCTAAGGGCTCCCAGGCCTCCTAGGTGCCTTTCACCCTTTAGGCCTACACAACAGACAAAGCCTCACACACTGGCCGTAAGGCCTGGGTTAGTATAGAAAGCAGTTACAAGAAGGACTCTCTCTGCATAAAAGTCAGACATCACATGCCCTGCCTCAAGCCATCCCAGCAGCTCAGCCACAAGGCCCCTGCCAGAGGGCCACACTAGAAAGACCATGGTCACATTCCAGAGACTCACAAGGCCCCTGAACAGCAACACAGGGTGAGTCTAGCACTCCACCGGGGCAGCCAAGATCCAACCTGGCCGGGACACTCAGAGGCCAGTGTCTCAGGCTTCACTTCAAACAGCCAAGGTACTCCCTTACTGCCTAGAGCTGAGACCAGGGTGAGAGTGTCAGTGATGAGAGGGAAGCACTGTCAGTGTATGCTTCCTGACATGGAACACAGACTGGACCCTTTCAAGGTCCCACAGACTCCAGTAGGAAAGAAGTAAAAACACAAATGTCAAGACAACTGTGGGATGCCCGGCTGTTGTGGCTCAATGGATTGAGCATTGTCTCATGTACCAAGAGGTGACTGTTCAGGGCACATGACAGGTTGCAGGCTTGATCCCCAGTAGGGGCCATGCAGGAGGCAGCCCATCGATGTTTCTCTCTTATCAATGTTTCTATCTCTCACTCTCCCCTTTTCTCTCTCTCTCTCTAAAATCAATAAAAACATTTTTAGCCCAGCTGGGCATGGCTCAGTGGTTGAGCGTCAACCTAGGATCCAGGCCATCAAGGTTCAATTCCCTGTCAGGGCACATGCCCGGTTACGGGCTTGATCAATGACTATCATCATTGATGTTTCTGTCTCTCTCCCTCCCACTCCTTTCCTCTCTCTGTAATCAATAAAGATATATTTTTAAATAAAAAATAAAATAAAAATAAATTTAAAATAAAGTAAAAAATAAAAATAAATAAATAAAAACATTTTTAAAAAATAGAGCTAAAATTTAAAAAAACAAAAAGACAACTGTGGGAGCCCCAGGATCACTCTCCTTCTAGGCAAGATACAAGCCCTTTTCTCCCGTGGCACCACCTACCATAGCTGCGGCCATTGATAGAGCATTTGTTGAAGACCATGATGTTCTGGGTGAGGGTGCCTGTCTTGTCAGAGAAGATGTACTCCACCTGGCCCAGCTCCTCATTCAGCGTGGTCGTGCGGGCCTCTGCAGGCGTCCGCTTCTTCATGCAGAACATCTTCTTGTCCCAGTTGATGAAGTAGCTGTGGCCCAGGCGAATGACCTCCACACTGCACAGGAGATGGAAGTAAGGCTTGGTGGGAAGGGAAGGAGGTGCCCTACCCACACAGGCCTTTACTGCAGGTGCTCCAGCTTGGGAGAAACGAGAACAGAGTGACACCTGGGCATGGGAACCCGGGTGCAGAAGGGCAAGGAGAACCTGAAGGTGAAGCCAGCCACATAGAGCCGGCAAAGGAATCCCCCAACCCGACCCTCTGATGCTCTCCAGATAAAAAGGTGCAAAGGGTCTAGGCAGGCGGGGCAGACACAGGTAGAGGAGAAAGAGGGACTGGAGACAAGGCATTCGACCAGCTCTTACCTCAGGACTAATAATACAGAAACCATGCAGAGAAAACAAGAGAAAATATGAGAGGGAAGGAAGAGAAAAAAGAGAAAAGTAATGAGGGCGCTGCATGTGCCACAGCAACACAGGTGCCACCTCAAAAGGTGTCACAGTGGGGAGAGGAAACCAAAGAGGCTCTAAGCCCACTCCTCGCTGCCCCAACACAGCTGACACTCTCCTTCCACTGGGCTCAGGGCTCCACAACCCCAACTCTGTGGCTTTCAGAAAGAACATGAGGCCAACACCAGAAGGGAGCGGGGCCTCAAAAATCTGGGCAATACCAATTCACAGTGGCATGGTGCTTTGAGCATCCCAAGGTTTGTCCACACCCTCTTCTTTGTTAGGCGTTTCCTTTGGGATATGGACTGTCAGTGTTTCAGAAAGGGCTCTGTGTTTAGGTCCAGTATAGCCAAGTAATGGGGCCACATCTGGAATCCTGCTCCTGACCTGAGGCTGCTATCAGGATCCAGTTAACAGGCAATACTGAGCTGGCTGGAAATATCTTTATGGCCTTTTTCCCAATCAGCTGATCAAGCACCAACCTCAACCCCCGTCTCCCCTAAACACACGCACTGTTAACTTGATGAGACTTAGAAAACTTTCCTAGGTAGCTACCACGGGCTTGAATACAAAACACAGGCAGCAATGCCCAAAGATGGAAAAAAAAATTAGGTTGGAAGAAAACATTTAAATAGTACTGAAGAATCAGAGTTACAATGATAATGATGGACATGCTACCACCCAATATTTGTAGAGTAATTTAATTTTTAAGCTATTTTCCAATCTAGTATCTTTTATCAAGACATCCCTATGAAGAAGGTGGGCCAGGTATTATTATTCCCATTTTATATGAGAAAGCTGAGGTCTCCAGTGATTGTGGATTTACCTGAGGTCAAGTGACTAACGAGAAGGCAGGACCAAACCACAAACCTCTCAGTCTCCTCTTAGTGTTCTAGGAAAGCCCTCAGCACAGGAACTCTATCTCCTATCACTGCCACCAGCACTAGGATCCAGGGGCTAGTGGGGAGATTTAAGGACTATCTGAGGAATCTGTATGAACAAAAAAAATGGCATATGGGAGGAGTTCTCAGACTCCATAAAGCATTTCCTTAAAAAGTTGCAGGTTCACTTATCTCAAGTGCAGGGCACTAAGTACAAAAGAAAATCTCTTTCTTCGGCGACTCTTTCTTCCTCCTCTTGCATCTCCCTTTTCCTGTTCATTCTCGCTGGTACAGCCCATTACCATCTCTTTACTGCAAGCATCCTAAATGTCTCCTTAATCCTATTTATGCACACCACTACCTGCCAACACTTCCTAAAATATTCTTAAGAATTTTTTTTAAAGAATCCTTTAATAGTTTACTAAGTACAAAGGCCAGAGGCAAAAATTCAAGACCCTCCACAATCAGGAACAAACTTATGTTTCCATCTCTCTGCCCCACAGCCAAACTGTTCTGTGACCATTCCCAGGTTCCCATATCCGAGCCTGTGTTTCTAGCCCTCTTCCCCAGGCTTTACTTTCACCCATCCCAGCCACCACTCAAAGCCCAGTTCAACAGCCACCTCTTCAGAGATGTCCTTCCTGATTAATTGTGTGGGGACAGATGCTCTTCCATCTCTCATGGCACTTTGTGCCTCTCACATGGTGTCTCAGTGTCTTACACTGTTTGTATCTCCCCTCCCCTACCAGTCTGCTGCTTTTGAAGGCAGAGGCCATGTTCTACATCTCTGCGTCCCCTTGCTGTACACATAAGACTGTAGGTAGAATGACTTCTAGAACACTTGTTCTCATTTCCTGTTATCACGTGTTTAAAACTTCCGTCCTCTCTAAAGTGCTTAAAAGGAAGGAGATTCATTCCTACATCTTTGTATGTGCCATGCACCTAACATGCTTCTTTGCACAAAGTTGGCATGCAACAAACATGTGCCAAATAAATCAGTAGTTTTCACTCTATACAGTCCGAAGCGCCTGGAAACTGTGGTGAAGTTAGCTCTGCACACAAAGATAAAGAGATAATATAAAATGTTCACAGCACAGGAAGAAGAGGACACCACATTCCTTCTCAAGGATTTCATCTTCATAGAAAAGGGAAGTTTGCCAAGGGACAACCCGAGCTCCCTGGAGAGACCCCAGGCATAGAAGGCACATACCTGACATAGAGCGATATGGGCACGACGGTGTTAAGGATGATGATGTAGGACCAGAAGGAGAGGAAGCCAGAAAAAAAGGCACTGTCTACTGCCTCATCCCAGGGCAGGTAGACCTGGAAGCGCATCCCGACCTCGTGCTCCCAAATGGCATTGCCAATGGCCAGGATCACCCCCATGCAAACCAAGAATCCAAAAATCTGGGGAGGAATGAGAAACAGAGGTGAGGCTGCCACTTAGGAAGCCCTCAAAACCAAGTGTGTCCCTGAAGGTCATCACTCATACCTGAACCCTCAAAAGCTCAGGCATCTTTAAAATGGTGGCATGCTCTAGTGGGAAGCGCCCAGAAGTGGTGACAGGTTCTAGTCTGCCACCAACCATCACATGGCCTTCTTTCTGAACATTTTTCCCATCTGGATGATGGGGAAGCTGAAAGTGTTGTGTAGCTCCCCATCTGACATCCTAGAACCCTTATGAGGCCTCAAAGGTGGTAAAAGTGGGGGAAAGCTGCTTTCAACATTCCAAAGAAGCTTACTGGAAATCACCATTTACTTGAGCTAAGCCACCATAAGCCAACAACAATGCCAAATTTCTCTCATGTTCATTATCTCATACAGATTGCCTCCCCCCGCCCCCCACTGTTTTAAACCAGGAAATAAATTGTATTTTCATAAATGTAGATTTCTTGATAGCCAAAAATCTTATAAAGCTTGTAGTCCTTGAAGAAGGATCCTAAGAAAACTTTGGAGGTTAAAAGGAAAAAATGGAGACCACTGTCTGACTTCATACATATATTTGCCATGCTGCCTTCACTCTTGAAGCTTTAGAACAAAATAGAAACCATCCTGGTGCCCAAGGACCACCAGAGGGCAATGTAAGCCTCTGTGTGATAGACAGCCACTCTCCCTCAGGCGGGGCTTCTACAAGACCTTTAAGGCCAGGGTGGAGACCGTCTCACCAGAGGCTGGCCTCAGACTTTGCAAGCTGGCATGTGGGGGGCAGGCAGCAGGCAGTGGGGCACAAGATGGGGAGGAGAGAAGGGGAGAAGAGCCTGACAAGGAGTTCAAATTTCTAGCCAAACAAGAGAAGGATTCAGGAATCGCCAAAAACTAAAACAGGAACTTTTCCTTTGGGATCCTTCGCTCTTAGAAGTCAGGCGAAAAGACCCCATTAGACCCCGTTCTTCATCCTCCAAATGGAAATTTTTCTTTTAATTCCTTCTCCATCCCCATGAAGGCCTCCTTGTCCCAGGCAAAAGCAAACAGAAGGTCACATGCTACACTAAGTCATCATCATAACTGGAATCCAGAGAAAGGAAGACTTGTTTTAGCTTTAAGTTGTTGATTCACACACGTTCCAAAGGTTTTTTAAATAATATCTTCCAAGGAGCCTGAAATAAACACTGCCTTTGAGTGACTGACCTGCCAGTGCCTTTAAAGCCAAAACCTAAAGCTTGGCTACTGATCAGGGAAGAGAAATGGGAGCAAAGGGAACTGCCCCTGGAGAACCAGCAGGGCAGGGCTGGGAAATCGTATGTAGGAAGCCTTACCCAAAGCACCAGTGTATTCATTAGGCGATCAATACTTGTTCTCTTAAATTTCGTCCTGCCACTGTTCTGCATCAGCTTAGTGTCAGGACCTACAAAAGGAAAGGAAGGGCTAGGAAAGCCAAATAAGGAAACTGCCTCTGGGCTTCTGCCCAAGTCCCCAGACTACAGGACATCAGAGTGGAAGAGAGACACGGGCTGGATGGACAGGAGGCTTGAATTCAGGGCTGGAGGCTTTTTACCTTATACATGGTACCAGCCCACTCAGTCTCCTCCCACATCCCTAAGGAAGAGCTGAGAAACCAACTCTTACCCTTCTTTCTTTGGATCCTAGGAGGCTCACCTGCAAAGATGACCAGCCCGAAGCACCACTCGGTGTTCCGCAGCACGCAGCCCCGCAGCAGCATGTTCTGGTTGCTCAGGGGGAACTTGTTCTCCTTCCAGTAGAGCATTCCACTGAATTTGTCCAGCTTGTTGTTGGGAGGTTCGCAAATTACTTCACCTGAATAGAAGACAAGTGTGACACTGCTCAAGGTGCAGTCTGTAGCCTGACCATGAGACAGCAAAACAGAAAAAGCAGCTGAGGGAGAGGATGTTAGGACATGGGCCTACCTAGTGGGACTGCTAGTGGGACTGTAAGCTGATGGGAAAGGAATGAGACAACATACACTAATATTAAGAATACACGTACCCTTGGACCCAGTAACCCCACTTTGGGGACTCTATTCTACAAAAATAATAGCACAGGTCACAATTTTTATTGAAGCATTATTTAAATAGAAAGACTAGAAACAACAGAATGGTCAAGGAATAGTTGAATAAATTATGATACATCAATTCTATGAAACAATATGCAGCTATTAAAAAGAATGACATAAATTTCTTTACATGGTAACGTGATAAGATAATGATGATGAATAGGTAAAGAAAGACAGGTCGCAGATTATGGTACGGTATGATCCCATTGATTTATGTTTGTATAAACATAGAAAAAAGTGTGAATGAAAACATACTCAACTGCCAGTTAACCTGATTGCCTAAGAAGAGTAGAAGTGGAAGACAGGAGAGCTTTTTCCTGTACACACTGCACAGTTTGTCTTGTTAAAAGGAACATATATCACTATTCTGAACTGAGTAAGAGTAAGAAACAAGAATAAGCTGAGCCACGACTAGTGTTGCTCAGTGGTTTTAGAACATCAGCCCATGCACCAAAGGGTCTTGGGTTCAATCCCCAGCCCAGCTGGGACATGTGCAGGAGGCAACCAATTGATGTGTCTCTCTCACATTGATGTTTCTCTCTCCCTCTCTCTCCTTCTCTCCCTCCCTCCCTTCTACTCTCTCTAAAAATTAATGGAAAAAATATCCTCAAGGACTAAAAAAAAAAAGAAAAAGAATAAGCTGAAGTTTTCTCAATAAGCACAGCAAAGAGGGGGTTATCATTCTTGAAGATCTCTTGAAATGACTGTCAATTCAAAAATAAGTGATAGCCACCTGGCATTCCTGACACCCCCACCCCCACCCCCAAAAGAGTTCAGGGAGCTGTATAATCACAGCAACAAGAAGCCAAAAAGAGGAAGTGCAATTTAAACCCTCAAACCCAACCACCTCCTCTTCCTGAAAGCTAGTTTTCCAAAATTACTCACCATCAAACTTGGCAAGCTTACTGATGTCTCCCAATTCTGAGGTGACTGGAATCGCCTGACGCACTTTCATGTTGGTCTCTCTGGAAGGACACCCAAAGTCTTACTTACCCAAAGTTTTCCAAAAGGTACACATCCCAGACCTGGGAACCCTTTTCCAAAACAAGTTTTTTTACCCCTACAGAGGCAGAAGGAGAGGTATGACAATAAGCATGCAACTCACCCATCGAGTTCTGCTGTCTCTATGTAACACAGCCCATGAGGCTCACTGCTGGAAAGTAGGAGGAGATCCGCCTAGAAAGAAAACCTAATGAAAATCCCAAAAACCCAGTCCTCCACCCCCAGTGGACTCTTTGATGATCCTTCCACCAAGCATTCTTAGCTTGCTTAGTCCCAAGCATGTGAATGGCCAGAAAGGAGCCAGTTCTAATCATACTAACATGACACAGAAGCTTCTCATTCAAGAAAGTTTCCTTCCAAGGGTGTTTAAAAGGCAGCAATAAGTCAGGGGAGACTCATCCTTTCTGCCAAAGGAAACACACTGCAGGCCCAGAGGGGCACCTGGTCCCTTACCGCCACAAACTGGTTATTTTCTAGCTTGATGATATCACCAACACAGACATTCATCCACTGCTCCTGCTGGAGGCTGAGGCAATGAGAAGACAGAGAGGAGGCTGTCAGCAGCTAGATAAGCTCCTAGGAAACCCCTTCCCCCCAAGGCCTTCAGTCACCAATAGGCACTCACATTCCATTGATCAGCACCTGAGACTGACGGTTATTCACCTGGTTATCACTCTTGTGGCGGAACTAAAAAGAAGGAAACTAAGAAAGGTAAGACACCTTTTCCTGCTCCAAGGGATTTAGATGACCAGTGGAATGCAGAGCATGCTGGGTACCACCTATACATATCTGTTCACAGATCTACTCTCTCTCTGCTTCCCCTTCCCTACTCCTGGCCAAGATATCATGAATCTAGCTGGACCAGGTAAGGGATGGCAATGAAAACAACTCACATAGTCATCAGTGGCATCTTTAACAGCTGTGATGGTGAGGACAAGAACCAAAGGCACGATGGTGGTGAACCAGGACAGGGACGAGATCTGTGGGATCAACTGAAAACAGGAAAGAGAAGGCACACCTCTGAGGCCCCATCCTATACCTTCTTTTCCCCTCGACCTTTCTCTTCCTTGACTGTATTTGACTTTGTGAGTTGCAAAGGGTCTCCCACAGGTTACTTACCTGCAGAATGAGAAGGAACAGGAAGTAGGTATTGGCAACTTCCTGGAACTGCTCAAAGAGGTTGACAGGCAGGAAGGTGAGAATATTGTACTTGGAGGTCTTGATGCAGTTACTCTATGGCAGTGGGAGAGAAGATAATGAGGCAGTCTCCAACCCCAACCCAGAACCAGACTGAGGCTGCCTTCTCCATCTACACTGCCCCAAACCTCAGCCCCCAAAAGCCAGCAACCACAGGTGTGGAAGGGGAAAAGAGCAGAAGAGAAGGGAGCCTCATGGGGTCAATGTAACCGCATCACTGACAAGTGAAGGCATGAAAAATTCAGCACAGTAACAGATGGAGAGTGGTGAGGAGGCTGCCATCCCCTCTCCCAAGCACTCTCCCAGTCATAGGATATTCCTGCACATTTCCCCTTTCCAGCTCAGGAGAAGGGTTTGAACAGGTGGTCTAGAGCCACTCACCGCATACTGGAATTTCTCATTGTATTCTCGGTCATTGGCCCGTGCCCTCCTTTCTTCTTCTGCAACAGAATGATATTGCAATCAGGAGGAGCAAACTAAGGCCTGGACCAACAATTTGTCAGGCCCACCCCACTTTGTGGGGTTTCCACTGAGGGCCCTTGATTCTTTCCACAGTATACAGTTTTAAGGAATTAGCGCCACACCTGAGGTGTCACTAAATTCTTCCCTCTAGTCCACCTCTCACCACTAGCCGGACTGCTGGGCTCTGCAGGCATTACATTCACAGAACAAAATGCCTTCTTCTTTCCTCACCAACAACCGTCAAGGTCTTCCACTGGGGGCACTCAGTTCCTCTCCTCACCCCGTTCATTAATGGTCTTAGGCATTAATGGTCTTGGGAATCCCCAGAGGAATAGCAACTGGAGACACAAAGCTTCCCTCCCCTGGGAACCCCTACAGATCTAGCCATGGTACCACCCTCTCCTAACCTGGGGGGTGAGGTGGGGTGGGTGGCACTACAGAGGGTCACACTGCCCTGGAACTGCTCTGCGGCAGCATCCCAGCCCCACGTGCAGTCTCCCCTACAGGAGCCTCTGCCTGTCACATGTCACCAGAAGTGGCTTCTGACTGGCCCACAATGACATCACCTTATTTTAAAGCTCATCTTCTAGTAGAAGGGGGGTCAGGGATATGGGTCATGCAGACTGAGACAGACATGAAGGAGAAAGGAATGGGACGTACTTGAAACAGCTGCTCTCTGACTGTAATCTTTCTTGTGCCATCTGCACACATTTCCCCTAAATAATATATTTGTCACTAACTGAGTGACAAATGCCCTACACCTATCCAGAACCTCCACAGATCTGGAACTGTAGGCACCAAGTTCAGGTACAGAACATGGGGTCTCTTATGAAGGTTTCTCCAGCCCATCTCCCAGGGTCACAATTACCACAGGCTGAAAATGGGGGCATCCTGGTTAGGCAGTAAACACAATGCCATAAACCAGTCCTGCAGCCAAACGCAGTATTCCACACCCCCTCCCAAGACCCCTGCAGAGCACACTGCAGTAACAAAACCTCAGACCACAACATCCTCTGCCTACCCAGAGCTCTCCTTCCTTGTCATCACTTTACTGCCAGAAACTTCCCCAGAGGGGACCCCCGGGCTGAGAACTCTTCTAAGTCACCAAAGACCATGCAAAGGGAGAGTTAGGGACCAGACCCTTCCGAGCCAGGACCTCTGGGTCTGGAAAGGAGAGGAACGGGGAAGGTTGGGGGAGGCAGAGGACACGGGAATGTAAGGGTGGGAGAGGAAAAATTATGGGCTCGGGAGAGCTGCCAGTTGCTGCCTCCCGTTACCTGTCCCCCAAGAGGGCTTCTTTCGGCTCCAGGAGGGGGGCGCCCCGGCCCGGGCCCACTTCTCTGGCATCTCCTTGGGGACTGTCATGATCCCGGTTTGAGCGGGGAAGGGCGGCCTGGTTGTTGGTCGGTCCTTGGGCTCAGCAGCGCCGATGGGGCGGCCCCCCTGGGAGGCGCAGGAGCTGCGGCCGCTCAGAGGGGAGCCCGGGCCGTCGGGCGCACGCCCCAACTGCAGCCCCAGCCATTCTCTCAGCCTCCCTCGCCCGGGGACGCCACGCGCCCAATTACGCTGCGGCCGCCAGCCCGGATGCCCCAGCAGACATCGAGAGCTGAGAGGTCCAGAGCCCCAGCGCGAGTCCCGGGCTCCGCCCCGCCCGCTCCCACTGCAGGGCAGCTGCCTGCCAGTGCCGCGTAGGCGAAAGCGCGCGCCCAGCCCCGCCTCCCCGCCCGGCCAATGCGGGTGAGGGGACCACCAGTGTTGTAGCGGGCCACTGCTTCCGTCCCACCCCAATCCCTCCCGCAGGAAAACTTGAAGGACCTGGGTGGATGGGAAGGGAGGGGAGAAAAGAGGGAGACAGGAGGTGTGAGGACAGACGGGAGATGGAAACACAGCTCCCCAGGCCAGAGAATAGGAGCTCCAGGTACCCCAAGATAAGAGTCTGTGTGTTTAGGGCTAAGGGGCAGGTACTCAGCACCTTCCCAGAGAACCCAGCTTAGGGATCATGGGAAAGAATTAGGTTTCCTAGGCTCCCCCAGGATGGGTAAGAGTTCCAGTCTACCCTCCTTCAGACTTATTATCAGTTGTCCCTCTCCCTTTTGCTCCCTGAGCCATAACACCCACTCTTGATAGCCAACACCACCCCCCAACTCCTGCCTGTCTTACCTGGGGGGCGCTTTTTTGCACACAGTGCCATCTCACCCAGCAAGGTCCCAGCAATCCCATGGGAGACCCTGCAGGAAGGTGACATGTGGATCAAGAACCTGAGGGTAACCCTTCATTCCCCTCTTCAGATTCCCCTGAAGGTTCTCTTCCCCAGTTCTAACTTTGCCCCTCCATCCCAGCCTTACCCACCAACACCCCGCTCTTAGTGTCCTGATGGGTCCTTGAGAAAGGAGATTTCACCACCACCTCCCCCCATGCCTCTGCCTTGGCTAATAGTGGGACTGACAGCTCACAAAAACCAAGACCTGCAGGGAAAGGAAGGTGGCAGGGAGAGGAGGCCAGATATTGACTGGAGGGGCACAGCTCTCAAAATACCCATTCCAGGGACAATGGATGCCCCCATGTGCCCTCCTAGAGGCAATGAGTGGTGCCTGTGTTTACTGGAAAGTAGAATTTCCACCAAAGGGTGGGGTTGAGGGAACACCAGCCAGGAAACACCTGGCAGAGCATCAGGAAACAGGGTGGGCAGGCTCTACCCTGCTCGAAAAGTTTATAACCCTCCAATCCCCCTCCCCCCATATTACTGGGGCTTTCATTATCACCTCCTCCAGAGGAGCTCACATTAGAAGCATGGCCTTCACTTTCTGCATAGTCCCCAAACCACTCCTCTAAGACTAGGTCAGTTGCCTTTCTAGACAAGCAAAGGGATCTTCCCAATCCCATGGGTACTTGAGCCTCTCTCTCCTACTCCAAGCCTAGTCCTATCAGTATGGCACTGGGTACAGGCTCAGGGAACATCAGTCAGACGGACCTAAGCTTCCTTCCATCTACCCATGTCCTTCCTTTCACCTAAAAAGGTAAAAGTTCTGGCTTACAAGACAGGGTCACAGAGCCTCACCCCTATTCCCCAGCCTGGTCCAAAGGAAACTGCCAGCCAGGTCCTGGGTCCTCTTGTCACCTCCTCTTTCTTTGTCTGGGTGGAAAGCCTTCCTCCTCCTCAGTTCCCCTGTCTACTGGGCACACCCCGCCAGCCTGTCAGCTCCAAGAGATACTAATTGCCTGTCTGCCCAACCTCTATAATTACAGACTCCGGCCACAGCCATGTCACCCAAACCAGTCCTCTCTTCACAAACTCAGACTCCCTTCCTGAACCCCAGATCAGGCAATACTGAAAGCCAGAAGTCCCTTTCCTCCCTGACCCTCCCCAACTCTGGCAGCCAAGGGTGCCTGGCTCAAGAAGAAAAACCTCATCCACATTTTAGAGATGCCAAGCCCTCCCCCAGGGCCCCCAGCCAGGGTCTCCACCCAGTCTAGTGTGAGTCATGGGAGGGTGGGGTGTGGAGGGAAAAGTCAAAGGAGAGGATGCAAGGGTGGGCATCACCAGTCCCATAGCCAGCTCCACTCTTTCAGGGAGGCAATCAAGAAACACTTATCAGCCCACAGATCTGGGTTTGAGTCCCATCAAAGAGTTAATGAAGGAGCTGCACAGCTTTTAGGAGTCAGGAGTCTGGTCACTGACCAGGAAAGTTGTTTTACCTCCAGGACCCTGGGGAGACTGAAAGCTGGCTTGGTCCCAGACCTCATCCCCTCTAGGGGGTTGCACTAGGAAGGGAAAGGGAGGGGCAGACCTGGGAACAGGGACTCCTCTCACTTCTCCTTCCTAGTCTCACATTCAGGACCATTAGCCGCCATGTAGCCCAGCCCCCTCCGCAGCCACATTTGGGATAAAAATAGCCAGCTCTGGGAAGAAGGCAATGCTCCATGGAGGAAAACCGCTCCTCCTCTAGGGCTGGCCCCTGCTCCCTGCCAGCCCAAGCCCGGGAAGACTGACCCCCTTCTTTCAGAGGAAGCAGGCAGGGATATTTGTGGGCAAGGCAGGGGAACAGCGGGAAATGGAACCCAGGACCCCCAGCTCACTTGCCACCAACAGCATCCCTGGCCACCTTCCATCCCCGAGGACAGAAGCCAGGACTCACTCCCCAGCTTTGAGCACTCACAGCTACTACCTATCCCTGCACCCTTGCTTTTCCTCGGGCACACAAAGCCTACCGTCCCCAACTCCCTTCTCCTGGCACCCAAACCCGGGGACCCCGGTTACTCCTCTCACCCCC